AAAATTCATGGTCTCATTGGGATGGTGTTACAGTGGCTTTCTTACTATGGATGGTGCCGGTCAGGAATGGAACTTGGCATGGCTCCTCTGGCAAGTACTATTATGACATTTCGTTGCAAATCAAAAGAACAAAAGACGAGCCAACTTGCTTGCGGTCCCTTGACGTGAATGAGCCAGCGCATGCGCGCGAAGGCGGTGGTGGTCAGATATACACCGAAATAGATATCCACATAATAATTGACACTCTGATCGGAGCACATGAGGACGAGCACCAGACGGTTGAATTTTTTCCTTTCTTGAGCAGTGGCATGCTGATATCGAAATACTTTTACTATCGATGTTGATAGACTCCAGATATTGATTACACTCGCATTCCCAATCTGGTCCATCGGCGAGTTTTTGAGCTCGGGGCTTAACCAGCGGTCCGTACCTGCACTTGTACTATTCCTCTAGACAGCGTTCTGTTTTCTGCGTCTGCTATCAAACTGCTCTGCAACCTCACTCATTGTCAAGCGTATCTAATCTACACGGGATGGGTGTCAATAGGGGGGGTTCTAGTAAAAAGCCAAAAAGCGTATGAACTGTTGTCAATCGGCTTCCCTCTGCTGTAAGCCCATCAGACGAACGTGCACATGCAACACACAGCTAACCTAAACAGAAAACAAAAAAGGCCACACAACTCCGGCGCCGGCAAACAAGTCGGACACAAACTACCTGTCCACCTGCGGAAGAGCAGGGGGGGAAAAGGCCCGGGAGGGAATCGCAGGAAGCTGACTTATCTTACGTGCATTTGGCATTGTAACGTGCAAATAATACTCCGTAAAGGTACACGTATAAGAGGAGACGGGAATCCTTTCTCGTGGGGAATCGGACTTTGAATTACAATTTTGGAGCCGTTACTCAAAGCTCCAGAAAGCCACCTGTACGCATATATAGAGCCCCCAACTGCTTTCAAGTCAAAAGGGTTCCCGCGCCCATCACACATGATACAGATGATATAGGTACCATAGCCAGCTCTCAGCAGTTAAAATTGATGTAGAATAAAGCTCCATTGCCCAACCTGTGCCGTCTCGGAGTACAAGCACCTCGATTTACCTCAACCCGTAAGCATCTGCACGCTGAGAGGCCAAATAAGAGCACATGGGAGGGGTCGGCCATCCCATCTCATCCAACCAGAATCCCCCGCCAAAATCGATACTACAGTAAACCTTGGCTATAACGATCCCCAGCCGTAACGATAATCTGGCTATACCGATAGGAAGGCCCGGATTAGCTATTTTCCACACCAAAAAGCCAGAAAACCTCAATAATAACGATATCGGCCAGAATTTGCTGACTAACCCATACAAATATCGTTATTTAATGCCTAGCCCAGGCCCGGCTAGGCACCCAACTTCGACCTGGTCAGCCCAACCTTCTTCCTTCAACACACACAACATCACCAACTTAACGTCTTTTTACGTGTTTTTTACGTGTTTTTTCATGTTTTTCATCATGCCTCCAGTGCCCAAGGCCACCAGATTCACGATTTCGCAAAAACAGCATCAGTTATTGCAAAAAAAACACCAGGAAAATCCAACTTAGACCCAAGCCCAGCTTAGCCACTAGGCTGCCACTAAATTCAAGCACAGGGTATCCCAGTCAACGATTTCCAAGTCGTTAAGTGACCGTTATAAGCACCTTAACGATAAAATCAAGCCTCAAGACGTCAAGAAGGCCCAGGCCGGCAACTTCCCTATGTTAGAAGAAGCCCTCAACAAGGCCCTGCTGCAGCTGAATGCAAAAGGTGCCCCTGTAACCGGGGATATCATCAAATCGATCGCGGCCAAGCTCTAGGTTTGTCTTAACAACTACGCCGGCCAGCCTTTGCCGCCGTTATCGTCTAGCTGGCTGGATGGCTTCAAGTCGCGTTATTCCTTCCAACGCTTTCGTCAGCACGGCAAGGCTCGCGCTGCCTTACAGGTTAACTGTACAGAAGACCTTCACGCTATCCAAGTCATCGTCAACAAATACGATTCTAACAATATCTACAATGCCGACAAGACCGGCCTTTTTTAGCGTTCTTTACTAAATACCATATTAGCTACAGAGCCCTAATCCAGCGGCAAGAGCAGCAAGTCGCGAATAACGGTCCTACCTTGTAGCAACGCCAGCAGCACCCACCGACTTAATCTTTAGATTATAGGCTCTGCGGCTAATCCACGCGTGTTCAGTAGGAATAACATATAAATTTCTATGCATCCAATACGCTATCAAAGTAATAAAACGGCCTGGATGACCGGCAAGATATTTCTCAAGTAGCTTTGTTAGTTTAATAACCAGATGACCGGCCGGAAGGTCCTTCTGCTGTTAGATAACTTCAGTGCCTACATCAAGGCTTATGTAGAAGCTAATAAAAAAAGCATCCTTCGCCACACATGCGTTATTTTTTTACTGGCAAATACAACCTCTCTGTATTAGCCGATAGACCAAGGCATCATTAATAATCTGAAGGTATACTATAAAAGGCACTGGCTAGAGTTTATAGCCAATGCCTTCTTCCACAATTGCGATCTGTTAAAGGAAGTTACCCTATTGCAGGCTGTTGGCTGGCTGGTTGACGCATGGCGCGATAGCATCAAGGAGGATATAATTAACGCGTGCTAGGTTAAATCCTAGCTATTTAGCAGCTTTATCAGACCAGCTAAACGGCCAGCCGATTGGAATGAATCTCATAAGGCTATTCGCAAACTTCTAACCCAAACGCATATCCAAGAGCTTATGCAGATTAACTACATCACCGAGCTTGATAAGGCTACCCTAGATAGCTTTATTAACCCGGTTAAAGAGCGCGTATTTAATACTGATGACAATGACCTGGATTAAATTACAGCACGATTTTCCTCAGCCTCAGCCAATAATAACGATGATGATCTAGATCAACTGCTTCCACCTATTATTTCAATAGCGGAAGCGTCTGACGCATTCATAAAGCTCATCAACTTCCAAGAACAACAGGAAATACCCAATTTCCCACTTCTCCAATCGCTCTACCAGCAACAGCAGGCTTTTCTTTATCAAACGCGTATAGACCAGGACCGGGCTAAATAACAACAACCCATAGAGCAGTACCTTATTACCGCATTAGGCGCGTATTAATATGCATTTTTAACCCATTTTTAGTAGACCGGTACCTGACCCCTGTAAAACCTGGTTCTAACAATATCCTGACTATAACGATAGCATGAGGGCTGCTGTCATGTATCGTTATAGCCAAGGTTTACTGTATCAGGGTACCTGGTACAAGATACTCCGAAACCACAAGGGCCCCAGCGTCTAAGGTACTAACTGCAGTGGTAGAGAGAGAGAAAAAACCGACATCCCGCTAAATTATTACTGCGACGGAAGCCCCTCCAACAGAGACACCTCTTCCACTTCCCACTCCCTCCTCTTCACTCCCAATTGCCCTCCTTCTTCTCCATAACCTCTTTGCCATTCGTGCCTCGTTTCAATAGAAACGAATCCAAGTAAAAGAATAACCTCGTCGCAACATCACAACAATCGCAATGGCTCCCACCAAGGAATTCGCCCTCCTCTGCCTGGAGAACCCCCTCCTTGGTATGGCTCACCCAATCCAAGAAGACAAAAAGCTTCACTCTGTTTTAAAAGGAGAAAACATCTGTACTGACTGAAATCACGCAGACATCCAAGCCGTCGGCGACCAGGCCCTCCTCGACAAGTACTCCCTCAAGGCAAACGACGCCGTCCTCGCCGAACCCCACCAGCTCGGCATCTACGAGGACCTCCTCAACAACTACGACGCCAAGCTCATCGCCGGCGGCGCCGCCCAGAACACGGCCCGCGGCGCCCAGTACCTGCTGCCCGCCAACAGCGTCGTCTACCTCGGCGGCGTCGGCGACGACAAGTACGCCGCCATCCTGCGCGACGCCGTAAAGGCCGCCGGCCTCCGCGTCGAGTACCGCGTCGACGACAAGCACCCCACCGGCCGCTGCGGCGTCGTCATCACCGGCCACAACCGCTCCCTCTGCACCGACCTCGGCGCCGCCAACCACTATGGCCTCGACCACCTGAAGAAGCCCGAGATCTGGAGCCTGGTTGAGAACGCCGAGGTCTACTACATCGGAGGCTACCACTTCACCGGTAAGTACAAGCTTGGCAATGGACACAGAAGATGAATGCACGAAGCGCGTTTGTAAAAGCAATCTCTCAATTACATCTACCTATTATGGCTTGTCCCATCACATCATGCCATAAGAAGGAGGAGCCCCCAATTCGCAAGGGAAAAAGGTGACTGACTGAACTTGAATCGCACGCAGTCTGCCCCCCCGCCATCATGGAGCTCGCCAAGGAGGCCGCCGAGAAGAACAAGATCTTTGTCGTCTCTCTCTCCGCGCCCTTCATCCCCCAGTTCTTCAAGGATGTCGTCGACGCCAGCGCCCCCTACTGGGACTATGTCATCGGCAACGAGGCTGAGGCCGCTGCCTATGCCGAGGCCCACAACCTTCCTTCCAAGGAGCCCAAGGACGTCGTCAAGGTCCTGGCCAACCTGCCCAAGATCAACACCCAGCGCAAGCGTGTTGCCATCATCACGCAGGGCACCGAGCCCACCTTGGTCGCCGTCCAGGGCGAGGACGAGGTCAAGGTCTTCCCTGTCCACCCCCTCGACCCTGCTCTCATCAACGACACCAACGGTGCCGGCGATGCTTTTGCCGGTGGCCTGGTTGCCGGTATCGTCGAGGGCAACTCCCTGGAAGCATCTGTTGACAAGGGCCAGTGGCTGGCCAAGCTGAGCATCCAGGAGCTGGGTCCTTCGTAAGTTCTTTTGTCTTTCTATTCTTGTTCCATAAACCACCCCTCCAATCACATCACCCGTGATGAGCTCACCCAAGCTAACGTATTCCTTCTCAGATACCCCTTCCCCAAGCAGACATACTCGGCCTCCTCTTAAGGTGCCAAAGAAAGCACATTGCTCTTGTCGTCCATGCCCTCGGTTGGCACGGAAAGGAAATTGGCGTTGAGGGAATAAAACGGGAAGAAAAGGGTTTCAACAACGGCGTTTTGCATCAATACCTAGGGTAGAGAGCCCAGAAGCAGTGGCTCGCTTTGCATAGCGATTCGGTATCCTCCACGATACGCAATCATTCTTTGTGGTTTTTTTACCTCATGAATTTTGAAAATCAGTTTATGATGAATGATGGAATGTCTGTCAAAACTGTCATCTCTCTCTCTGCAGTGAGGTTCAAAGGCGACTTGATCGATCGATCGGCTCTCTCCGCGTCAATCCTTTCTTCTCATCTTGTCTCAACGCTCAATCCCATTTCTTCTCTTGGTCGACCAGAAACCCCGGTACGTAAAGAGAGCCATCCATCAGAGGCGAGAAAGGCAAATATGAAAACATTGCCGCTTCCAGATTGGTGTTGCAAAGACCATGCGTTGCTGTACAAAACATCTCGAATTCCAAATCATACCCTCATGGTCGGGCTGCGGCGAATTCGCAAAGACCGCGGTTCATTCTTCGTAAGTGCAGGAACTCTTGACATGCCTTGGTCGACATCGGCTCCCGTTTCCCCCCGTCAGACAAAGGCAACGCTTTCAATGAAGAGGCTTGGTAAAAGAAAAGAAGAAGAAAAAAAGCCATCCTAAACTCTTCATCTACCTGGAATCTTGGTAGGCAGATCGCATGACAGCCTTGTTATAATCTGACGTCGTCTGGTCGATCTGAAAAACGTCATTGAATGCCCGCCCTTCAAGAAGGAGACGGCTTCGGAGAATGGCCAACGCATCCACGGGGGGCTGTACGTTATACTGCAAACCGCTTGGCGGAGTGCCCTGGTAGAGGCTGCTTGGGTGTGAAAATGCAGAGCTGCCCGATGAGACTGGCAGTGCACCAAAGTTCTGCAGCTCTTGCAGGTTCAACCCAGGCGGCAAGGAGCCTGGGTTCTGCGCCCAGCGACTGAAAGATGAGGTCCGCGGAGTGCTTGCGCTCCCATTCAAGGCCTGCAGTAATTGCTCCTGGTGATGGGATCGAGCAGCTGCGCCTGCGGGGCTGCCTGCTCCGCTGGCCACGCTGCGCGAGATGCGCTCCCATACATCGCGACCAGGCGTAGCAAAGGGGTCATCCAGAGGTGCGCTTTCCGCCGCAGACGCATTGGGAGAGGGCGTTGCGTGGTAGTGGTTGTTTGGCGTATCTCGACTCACAGGTGGCGCGCAATCCCGAGTGGCATGCGGATTAGGGGTGCCAAACCAAGACCATGGAAGAGACTCGTATCTGGGCGATGCGATGGACGAGGTGGGACTCGGCTGGGGCTTCAATGAGCCAGCAGCATCGTGTGCGGATGATGTTTGCTTCGGCGATCGATCGAGCTCCATTGGCGTCGGCGGTCGCAAGAATGGCGCCACCATGTCGAGCACCGTCTCGGTAGCTCGGTCCATCACTCCTAAGTCCTCATAGATGTCATTTCCAGAGTCGTTCAGCAGGCGTCGGCTTGCCTCCCGCTGCATTTCCTCAGAGTACGGCGCCGCATCCGCTGTTGCTCCGTCATGAGAGTCCAGCGCGGGCTGGGTCGTCTCTTCCTCGTTTGTAGCCGGCAAGACGCCAACTGATGGAGTCGTAGTTGCGATATCCTGTGCTTCGCCCAATTGGACCTGTGGCTGCTCAGCAGCGGGCCGGTATTCAAAAACCAAAAGAGTCCCTTCCACCTTGGAGTCTGTATATATCAGGGGAAAAGCGGCTTGGTTAGCCAAGAAATAAGCGCAACGGATGATGTCGAGAATTCTTCCAGTTCGTTCAGTCGATGGGGAGGGGCAGCCTTCTAGAGCCTGAGAAGAAGGCTTGCGGGCGCCGTCGTCGCCGCAGTAGGCTCGGCAGTACTCGGGGAGCTGTTTTTCATCAAGTGGCTGAAATCCATAGATCAAGATATCTTCCGGGAGCAGATAGGGGCAAGATTTTGAGTTGTCAAGGTTGTAGAACTCGGCGCAGAGCAAGCTCAAGACTTTGGCTAGACTCTGAATCATCCCGGGAATCGCTGCCCCAAACGCGTCAGCCAGGGCGGAAATCTCCTCACGGCGGGCCACAAGCCACATGCTATACACGCGCAAGACGGGGAGAAGAGCTTCGACGACAGGAGTCGTCTGTTCTCGGGCGACCTCGGTAGCATCCGAGTTTTGATCGAGGCCCTTGGCACTGGAAACAGCCTCCCGGAGCTCGGCTTCAAGGACTTTGCACAATATCGAAAGAAACATTGCGTTGAAGCGGACCGTAAAGTGATAGAAACGCATCGAAGTCTCCGTCTGCTTCTCTGTTCACCATTCATTAGTAAGTTGCAGTCCCTCGATGGACGCTATCACGTACCGGTAGACTGAGTTGTGGCTATATTGTGCGCCAGCATGTTGACCATTGCCATCTTGAGGAGGATACCGAGAGAAGCGGGATTCCGACAAGCCATATCCAGCCGGTGCATCACTTCGCCTTCCAACTCGGCCTGCTGATGGAACACTTCTCCTCTGTAGAAGTAGGCGTGCAGCTTCACAAACCACATTGTGAAATGAGCTTCCGGAACCGAGGGATTGGGTCGAGCCCTGGATCCATTGGGGGCCAGCACCGTTTTGAACTCGGTCTCCAAGTTGAGCTGGGCGTTGGGGTGGGGAGCTTCCACGGCCAAGGCTCGGTAGAAGTTGTAGACAATATCGAGATGGTTCCCCTGTTCAAGATGAATGATGCCGGTTTGGTGAAAAGCGAAGCCAGATTGGGGCTGGATATGGTGAGCCAGCCCATAGTATACCAAGGCCGCTTCATAGTCAGAGCTCTTGTGCCGTGCCTGGATCCGGTAGCGAGTCAGGTCTCCCAGGTGAATAAGATTCAGATGGCAAGAGTGCAAGACCTTGCGCTGCAGCTCTTCCGAGACCGGGCTGACATTGGCTTTGGCGCCCATTTGGTCGAGTTCCATTCCTTGCGCGACTCTCTTGAGCTCGGGGATATCGTAGTATGCGCACATGCGCTGGAGAAACCCTTTGTAAAAGTTGGCGGCGATGCGTAGGAAGTTGTGGTACATCTTTTCGACCTTGCGCTTCTCCACCGCGTGGGAGGACTGCTTGAGGCGGCCCAGGATGCGCCGGTACTCGGTGTTGACCGAAGTGTGCATGGACCATAGATGCTCCTCGGTATTCTGAGAGAGGGCATACTCGATATCATGGAAGATGGTGGATACACAGGCAAGGCGGAACCTGCAAAGAGAAGCGAGCGCGTTAGTCGATACCAATCCAAAACCTTGGGAGCTGGGTTCGCATACTTGTCCAAGTTGCTGTCTATCGCTTCAAACTTGGAAAGATCGATGCCAGAAGCATTGCCGGGCGTGAGCTTCCCAATGTCTCTTACGAGCAGCTTGCGTAGCTTCTGGGCGTTACTATTGCGACAGCGTCAGTGCCATGTTTCCGGCCAGAGAGCTCTCCTGAGATGCCGCGCCGCAGTCAAGACAGAGGCAACAGAGGGATCATGCCACGGCTCCTCTCAAAGGCCTTGCGCAACCATCCCGGAAGACGTAGAGGGCGACCTACCGCCAAGAAATGGCCGCTGGAGGGGCAGAAGAGGCCATGGCGCGGACGGGCTCGCTTCGGCAGAGGGTGGTGAACTGCGGGTGCCTGATGGCGGTACGATAGTCGACAGGTGTAGTATAAGGTAAGGTATGGAGGTCTCTTCAGCTACGCAGCCGTCTCATGCTCTCGGGAATCCAAATCGCAAAGGTCCAGACAGTCCATAACTCGAAGCCGCGTCGGATCGGGAGAGCTGGTACCGGACTCGGCTGGCGGAAATCGGGCAAGCAGCTGGGGGAGAAAACATTGGTGAAGGTGGGCTCGGCAGTCCAAGGATGCGAACACAATGGCAATGGGCTTTTGTAGCTCCGGCGAGGTCGTGTCGTGAGGCGCTGTTGCGACGGATGTAATTTTTTGGAATGAGAGAATGGCGATAGCAAAGTGAGCGGCTTCTGAACCCCTCAAGGTTAGTCAAGTACATTAGCTTGTCGCTGCAGTGAACGCGCTGGGCGATCTTCGGCTGTTCCCTCTTCTTGTCGGGCGAGGGACAAAGGCCTTGCAATGCCAAAGCGACAGCTTGAATGTGCCAAAAGGTGAGAAACGGCAGATTTGTTGTCAACTATACGAAGAGGAACGAGTTGTGTGTTCAAAATTCAGAGAAATAACAGCAGTCGCAGTCGCCAATGGGTGCGCGATGGTTGGTGTTCACAGTTCTGTGATGGCGTGTTCAAGCCCTCTTTGGTGCGGAGCTCGTCACCAGCACTGTGTCAAGGTTGTTCGCATATCAGCCAACTGCGACCTCGAACCTTGAAGGTGAGTTGCAGAATATCCATCTTGGTAGGCTCGGATTCAGTACATAATAGTGCTTGAGAGTGTAAACCCAACTACTACTGTAGTACTACCTTACAGAATGCCCTTGTGTCGTTGAGCAATGACCTCATTTACCAGGATCAATGAATCACAACCAAACTTCGAGCAAATCCGCCCAACTTGTGCTACAGATTTGGATCTACGCATGCACCCATCTGGGAATCGCCAAAATCAGACCTGGAGCTTCCAGTACAAGCACCTGGAGGCGCGGGGTGGGGCAGAACCCCCGCCGGCTCCCTTCAGGCCTTATTCCAGCATCTCAGCCGCCGGTTTGGGCGTCATTCTATCTTATCCGTAGCCTCAAAAGCATCGTCCATGTTCCATCTTATTCTCAACTCACGACACCCTTTACACCTAGAGCCAGCGCCACAAATCATATTCCTCTTCAGCGAAGAACATATTTGCTTTCTTTGATCGCGTATCCTTCTTTACTTTGACCTGTAGCAAATCGCAATCCTTCCTACTTCCTTGAGCTTCAACTTCACGTCTGCCTATATCTGCATCTATCCGCATCCCCTCCCCTCGTCACGCCCTCATCACGAAAACCCGCTGGTCCGCATCAAAAGTAATACACATCTTGCCCCACAAAGCTCACCGTATATCTAAAAAAGATGAAGCGCTCACGAGAGCCCGAGGAGCAGTTAGAACTCGATCCTCAAGCCGAGGACTCTCATCATCTCGCAACCGCTGACGCCGACGCTGATCTTCGACCCGTCTCGAAAATCGCCGGCCTCGACTCACACGTCGAAGACGACGGCGGCGAAATCGTAATGAGATGCTCACTGCCCCCTCACAAGGAGCCGCTCGGGTTCCGGTATTACGGCGACTACGAGGCTCACTATCACAAGTTCCACACCAACAGATGCATTGAGTGCCGCAAAAACTTCCCCACAGACCACCTTCTCGGTATACACATCGAAGAATGCCATGACCCCTTGGCGAGGGTTGCCAGGGACAAGGGCGAACACACGGTAAGCGAAAGGCGGTTATTTCCTTTTGACCATTTGCCCGTGGGTAGAGCTGCTCTAACATGGTTCAGTATTCTTGCTTTGTCGAGGGGTGCGAGCGCAAGTGCATGACTCCTCAGAAGAGGCGGCTTCATCTAATTGACAAGCACATGTACCCCAAGAACTTCTTCTTCGCCGTCACAAAGGAAGGCATTGACGGCAAGCGCTCGCTTCTCATCGAGCCCAGCCGTCGGCGCAGGTCCTCAGCTGGCTCGCAAGCGCAGGTCAAGGAGCTTCGTCGTCGTGCGAACACGCTTGAAAAGGAAACTTCCAACTCCGACAACAAGCCACAGACCCCTCTGCCATCAACGACAACTCAGGCAGATCAAAGCAAAGCGAAGCTGGAGAAATCAGTCGACACTGACATGGCAGATCTGACGGGGGCCATGTCAGCTCTACAGTTTGTCCCTCCGAGCATCCGATTTGGCCGGGGCCGGCCAGGATTCTCGAAAAGGTGATGGGGAGGGAGTATCACATTGAAATTGAACTGGAGATTGCGGGAATGATCAGCATGCTACTATAAAAGAACATTGTTTAGCTAAGATTCAGGATATCTACCTCTTCGATTCCAACAAGAAGCCAATGTTATACTCTTCCTCTCTCTTTCTTGTCCGTGCCTGGAGTAACTTGGTTGCATTCCTAAACCCCAACGCCCTAACGCCTGTTTCGATGTGTGATGAAAATCCTTTGAAACCCAGTGGTTGTCGTCTCTCTTAATCGCTAGATGCGCACCCTCTGCAGCCGCAACTGACACATTGCATATCGCCGTCTTCTTTCAGCTGAGCTCTCGGCACTCGGCAGATACACGTGCTGTTGAAGTTTGTTTCTTTCGTCTGGACGCAGCGCAAGCAGCAGAGCTATTTCAAAACTTGTCAGCATGATGCCGTAGAACACATGAATGGTACCAATCAAACACGAATTGGGCAGCAAACAATCATACCTTTTCGTAGCCCTGCTTCTTCCACTTCGCGATGAGCATCGCATCGGCATACCCATTCTTCAGCAGCCACTCGTAGAGCTGCTTGCTGATGGCCTCCTTCTCGTAGTAGAGATCGTATACGTAGCGACTCCGCTGGTGCGCAATCTGGAAGATCTCCCACTGCGCCATGTGCTTCGGGCCCGGCGGCGGGGGCTTGTTCTGCGCATCCTTCATCTTGTTCGCAAAGACCAGGAGGTCATCTTCAATGTCGCTGAAGCCCTCTGGCGGCGGCTTTCGTTTTGAGGAGTGTCTAATGGCCGGCATTTTGTATGGGGGTTGGAAGAATAAGAGTAGACCGAGTACAGGGAGAAGAAGGAGCAAGAGAGATTTGGTTTTGTACCAGATTTCAATTCGAGATTTCCAATCGCCCTCGTTGACGGTAGGAATAAGCTTGGGCGAGGTTCCAGAAGCGCGTCGAGAAGGCTGAGCTAAGCCACAACCGAGGGGCAAACGCTCAAGTACCTCTGTACCGATGTGGCGCATCCCGGGGATTTCGCACCACATCACGTGAAGCGTCCAGGCCTTGGAGATGGGCATGCTTCAATTGGAGACCAGCTTCAACGTCACGGCATTGCATTTCCCTGCGCCGAGAAAGCAAACCACCACCCGCCATGGCCGTTACGCCGACCCAATTCGCCAAGAAGACGGCGCAGTGTGAGCCTCGATCCCGATCTCTAATGATTTGGCAGAGCTGATGTGTCAAACAGCGACCAGCTGGTCGGATGCGAAGCGTCGAGTCCTTTCTTCCTACCGCGAATGGATCCGAGCTGTACGTCCCACGCAGTAAACCCCTCGAGCGCCATATTTCAGTTACGACATGGGGATCTTGAATAGTGCTGCTGGAACAGGGGGGCTAGATTGCTATCGTTTGGGAACGAAATCTGATGGAGCGAGAACGCAGGCGCCGGAAATCCAGACCATGTACAATGTCCCTCTACCCGTCTCGGCCCTCCGGACGCGGATCCGACAAGAGTTTGAGCGACACCGATTCACGAACCAGCTGCCCGTAGTCGACGTCCTCCTTTTCAAGTCCCACGCAGAATACCAGGTACGAGCGGCTACGCCTCGGAAGAGAATCTCCGTGCTCTTTTGCTTTTTACAGGGAGAAAAAGAAGGCGGCATGCTAATCGCGCGGGAGGAGTAATACAGGAGACTATGAACTTCTGGAAGCAGCAGACGCACATCATGGCTTACTTCAGCGACAACTTTAGAGGAGACAAGAGGCTCCCGTCCAGCTTCATGTCTGGCTTCTTAGAGGTGAGCTTGCAACGCAGCATGGGGCACAGGCCGAGCATACGGGGGGCTAACGAATCTTTCGATAGGGCCGAAACTAGAAAGGACAAATGCAAGGAATATCAGTTTTGTAAATATCTCTCTGTGTAAAAGATTCTTTTTTGTGCCAAAAGCCTGCCAAACGCCGTGGAATCGTACAAATGCCCCCATATACAGGTGACCGTCCTATGCATGTGATATACCCATAGTTTTTCTTGCATAGCAGCCCAGTTTTCTATCCATTACCGCTTCTCCCTCCCGTCATTAATCATCGGTCAATGCCCTGCTCTGCGTTGAACTGCTGCCTCTTTGTCCAGAACTCCTCGGCGACCACGTCGCACACGTCCTGGAGGTCGCTCAAGCCCTTCTTAAGGGCGTTGACGGCCGTTCCATCTGCAGGCAGGAGAATTAGCGCGAACACGTGCTGATAACTCATCAAGGCCAATCTTACCGTATGTTTGTATTCTGATGTTCATCTTGGGCTCAGAGGGATGGGGAATGGAGTAGGCGCAAAACTCGACATCAGGGCTGAAAGGAACATTAGCCTCAAAACAACCCATCTACATAGACGCGGCCCACGGTTCGCAAACGTACTTTTTCATAATGACATATCTCAGGGCATTGCCCAGCGTATGGCCCTCATCAGTAAACTCAAATGAAGCCGCCGTGTCCGTCGAACCAGGGAGCTGTCAACATCTCCGTTAGCGCATCAAGATTTCCTCTGATCTCATGAGGTGAAAAGACTCCTGCCATACAATTCGCACTCGCTGAGGCTCAACTTCCTCCTCCTCCTCTTCCTCCTCGGCCTCGGCATCCTCCCGCATTTCGGCATCCTGGGCGACCTCGTCCTGAGCAGACGTCGGGACGTCGTGCATGTCCACCTCCTGCGCCTCTGTTCGTCCAGGCATCTTTTTCCCTTTAGGCGTTGACAGATTTCTGATCCTTTGGTGAACAAATGTGCGGAAAACTAGCTTCGTTTCTTCGAGAATGAGTGTAAGCAAATGAGATGAAATGACTTGTCACTGTCAAGATTTCTTTGTCGCCTTTTGGCTCGTCCTCTCAAAGCAGAAAATTGGCGGCTCATGAAATTTTGATGAAGACGCAGCGCCGGGAGTGGGGCGCTTTTTTTCCGCCTTGCCGGATTACGGAAGCGACGCGGAATCGGGTGGCTCAAAACGAGGCGCCACATCCGCAAGGTTTGGGATGTTCAGGTTGGCAAGGTTAGAAACAACGCCGCGTTTGTTTGTTGGACTCCGACGCCAATGTCAAATGTCAAAGTAAATGTTCATGACCGGAATCCTCCAGTCGAGTGCTTTTACATTTCCCCAGTCGGTTTCTCCCCGTATTCACATCCAGACGCACCTCAATCCTCCGGTTGAGTACCTTTGCACAGGGCCCCACGATGTAAACAGCATGATGTACACACTCGCAGCATCAAGCGGCATGAGGCCGTATGAGAGCCTCTCCTAACTCTAAGCCAGTAGGCCATACTACCTAGGTAGGTACTACCTTACCTGCTGCCGATTAAGTACCTAGTAGCAGGCCATGACTTGCCTTTGGACATGGTCCGTATACGCAGTATGTGGCTAATGTAGACAAGATGCAGCCCAAGCCCTGTTTTTTTGAGCCTCTTTAAAGTTAAAAGGGGCAATCGCCAATAGAATTCTAAACATCCGTCAAACTACTACTAGTAGGTAGGGACCCAAACTTACTTCGCGATGCCGTAGACGGAAGTCACATGAGGCTGGTAGCTTCCTTAACTTCGGTTGTCTATTGAGATGCATCTGCCGACTTACATCTCTGTTGGTTTCCCGGCTTGTGCAACTACGGACTTGACCATTGAAAGTTTGGGGTGGCTGACTTGGATGATACGCCACCAGATAAAAGGAAATCTTGGTGACAACTTGGACACGCACTCATACCTATTACCTTGGTGGCTTACCCGCACAATACCTATATATGTAGCCATAGCCTCGCTCCCTCTCAACGTTCTCCGCCGCTACTCATCATATCTGCTCTTCTTATATCCATCCATTGAGATATAGTTCACTATCCGATTGTGATACCTACACATCAGTCCGATTCACTCTCTCGATATTTTGTCATGGAGTTGAGCTATCATCAGAGAGCATTGGTCAGAGACCTTGATCGTCCCTTTGAGGACATCACACGAGAAGAGAAGCTCTGGTATCTCCGCACGCATCTGGAAGGAGAGCACCGCGGTCATCAGTTTTTGATGTGCGCCTGGCGTACCTACGATCCTCCAATTGAGCTGCCTCTACCTCGGATACCAGGTTACCAATTCCAGGACATCTACAACAAGTCGGTTCCCATCTATATCCTAAAGGGCCATTGGTGGCTTGCAGGTATACTTGACAACTACATCTATCGTCGATGGTTCAAGCCTTACCGCAGCGAAATCGAGTACGGTCGCTTCATCACCAAATTCATCGGTCTCAGAGACACAGACACTCCCTGCGCGGCCACACTCCAGAGGATCGTGTCCCTGAATGGAGCCGTCTGCGCACAGATTCATGAGCTTCGCAAAGAATACGACCGGGTGATCGCCGGTGAGTCCGCAAGACGTCTTGATATCGTTAAGGACCACCATCATTACGTCCTTCAACCACTCTTCCAAGCCCTTCTCCTCGTCCTCAACCCTACAGATTGGCATGGCGAAGATTCGAGCTCAATTGGCCGGATTCCCGTCATACTTGTGCGTACTGGAGTCGAAGATGGGCTTAGTGAGCCAATCACATTCGAATCAATCGTCGACAAAACTGATGGCTATGTTGGAGAAAATGCCATCAGAACCACGGTAGAGACAGCTATCGGGTTTGTGATGGACCTGGAAGCCCGTGAAACTAGAGCATTCGGTCTTCGACCTGACCAAACTGCCTCATGGGATCCAGATGCTTTATTCGACGGATGGCGAGAGATAATGCCATTTGACCAGTTAATCGGGCCTAGCTCTCGGTTTGTGGATGACGAGCGATATCCAGAGTGGTCGGGACCTGGCCATTTCTTCGACACTGTACACTGTGTCCAAAACGAACAGCGAGAGCTCCGGCGCTATGCTTCCTGGTAGGACCAAAAATACTACTTTGAGTCGTCAGTAGCCATATAAGATGACGCTTGCATACCTTAATATAAGTCTGTTAATTAGCTTCGCCTTGCAGTGTTGCCATCGATTGGTTCCTAGATGTACTCGAGGGCACATCTAGACGATGCTGACAAGGTTCCTGGTCACCTATCGCGGCACCTCAACCAACAGAGATTCAGACGCGCAGACTTGTATTAGGTGTCCCTCTATTGAGAGGGGACCGGCAGGGCATTCTGCGCAACTCTGGACCTTCGAGCGGTGCCGTATCACCGCCTGGGTCCCAGTTAACTGCAGCCTGTGTCGTCATCACCAGTACTCCCCTGGGCAAGAGTACATACGGTTCTCTGCTTATGGGTTTCCCGAAATGACTTTCGACACCCCAGATGGCATGGCGGTGGTAGTTTTCATGGCTGTGTCCTGCCACGAGACAATGTCTTCGATCACATCAAGGGTAGTCTTCAATGGCATTCCATTTAGCATAATCCTACTGCCCGGCTCGAAAAAAACGTACCTGGTTCGCGATGTTGATTCGCCATATCAACTGGAGGCCCCTCAAATCCCCCCCTTGGAGAGCGACTACACGATGGAAACATGTCGCCATCAAGTCTGACCAAAATACTCTCTGTGGATGCCCAATCACGGCCAGATTGTCTCTTGAGGCGTAGTTGCTCATGCAAAGGATTGCTTTGCCGTCCACATGCACATAATTTTGGTACGGCGTCTGGGCTTTGTTGGACGCATTACATCCCGTGTTGTCGGCTTGGATGAAAACATATCCATCCCTAGGCTGTCCTTCATATTCCATTTCTTTCAATACCCCTTCGGCTGATATTGACGGCGCTCCGGGAGGATCTACCAAAGTATGATACCATGGCTCCAGAATCGGGAGAGGCTTCGGTACAGCCCAGTTTCGCTCAATGCTTCGCAACTGTTCAGCATATATCGCTCGGCCCTCTGCGATAAGGTCCGTATACTTGGGAAGAAGATGGGACGCCATTTCGACAAAGCACCACGATACTGAGACACAACATAAACTACAGTCATACAAGGATCTGTCTAGTTAATTCTAACAGCCTGGACGCTATTCACATTCCCACTTGACATAGAGTTGGCGGCGAGACTTGAGGAGCTCCTGCCTTTTCTCATTATGTATTGGCGAAAGCAGGTGCTCGCGAGCTTCCTGCATAGATACGAGCCCAGCACCTACCTCTCCTACTTCCTTTACACTTAATCAGGTGGCACCTTCTGTTCATCGGACGGCTCTCCAGCTTTTACTTTCTTTGGCCTCGCGACTTTCTGATAAGCGAAAACGGGACGGGAGTTGCTTACTAGTAGTACTGAGTAGAGCCAATACCCAAGTAGATACGGTAGCCAGGTGCCCGTAGGTATGCTGTTACTACTAAGGTAGGAGGCAAGTAGCCCGCCATACGTACCTAGGTACCTGTCTCTGCTGCAAACTCACGGGTTCCTGATTGTATCGTCAAATACCCTGATTGCAGTCCTCAGAGCGAATGCCAGGCTCATCAAGTCCGATGGTCAAAAAGAGTCTCACACCGGTGGTATGCATACCGCTTCCAGGGCAGTTTCGTAATATGTGCCACCCATGAACGCATGGCCTTTGCAACAATAGGGTGGTTTGCAAGACGCTCAAATGGAAATGGTATTGCCACAATATAGCATTCAGCAAAAGATTGCGTCCTTCACGATTATGTCGGTTTTTTGAGTGCAAGTAGTGTTATTGTGATATGTTGTCCCTACCTATCTAGTCAGGCAACATTGCTGGTCTCTAAAGAAACTGCGAGTACTTTCCTTACCCACGGTAGAGAGCTCATGCTTCATTGTGGATACTCGATGCCCAGAGTGCTTCCATGTTGTAGATCCCAAAGCCAAATCCTCAAAGAAGAAGAGTCCATTAACACTTATCTGCATATCGATGCTTGGGGTCAACTGAATACCCTTGATGCCTTAGTTCCAAGAACGAAGTCTGCTACAATACGGGACGAAGCCTCGTGACGACATAAAGCTGGGAATCGTCTCTTTTGCAGTCATCGAAAAGTGCCAGCAATCCCCCGGTATTTCACCACGGGGAATTACATTTCTGCCACCACCTACCACTAGGATCACCGACAGAGTGTTGACAGTAATAGAGGTCAGGGTGCAACTCTGAGTGGTATTATGGCTTGGTTATTTGGTCGGTTTCCGCAATTGTTATATCAATAGGTAGACTGGCCGTGCCTGTGTGATCAAAGCATGAAGTATGAAGTACACGTAGTACCCCTGGCTGTGTCTTCACGTGTCATTCATGCCATGAGCTGATGACTCGGGCCTTGAAATGGAAAAATGTTCGAGTATTCACTTCGTAGGGGTAATGTTGAGAAATCTACCTCTCAATAATTGAAGCGTTATACCTTTTGGGACCAAGAAAGGGGGGGACACACGGAGGCATTCATCAGCAGGTTGGGACTACAAGCATGCGATCATGAGGTACGCTTCGGGATTATGCACATCAACCTCCCTGTTCCCTTCATAGTTGCCAGGCGCATATGTTGGCAAGGGTCTTCCGCTGGGCTCTCGTAGACATACGTTGATTAGCAGAGCAAATCATATGCTATTGTGAAGGCATGAAATACATGCCTGATGGATTAAATCTCATGCGTCTACCTAAGGCTCTGCTTGTCGGACCTTCCCCAAGTTGACCATTCACTGCAAAATACCGAGGATATAGTCCGTTATCAAGCTTACGCGAGACGCTCAAAGCAACTGGGCCAACCAGAAAGGGTTCGGTACTGGATGTGGCACTTGAGGCCGCAGATATAATTGCTTCAAAAACGTACATGTAGCTTGTAGACCAAGGAGGAATTTTGATTCTTTGCACAGTCAAAAAGAAAGTTGGGGCGGCGGTGAAGTTACGAGCTCAGCAGCAGAAGCAGAGTCGTCTCACTTCGAAGGTATGAGTGAGGGGCCCATTGGCCAGAAACAATTCGGCTACTTGTCTTTTACATTCACAATTGGCGATATCGTTATCTTTCAAAGGATGAGAACGACTGTTGCTTCTCAAGGAGGGCGATGCTGAACCTCATGGTTACAGCATCTGTTTGCTTACAAGTTTACGCCAAACCCAGCACTGAGTATAGCGCTCCCTCGTTAAGACAGGCAGCCTCACAAACGTCGTATCATCGCATCTATTTACTTCCAGGCTGATCAGCATATCACTTCCATGCTATATCTGCGTGCTTGCATGAGGAGTTCTTCGATATCACGTCATTTTCGTGACCTTCCCGTGAGTCCCCATCTACATCATGCGCCAAAGTTTGCAGTAGCACCTCACGAGAAGGACTGGCTGACTTGCTAGGTACCGTTCAGGGATGAAATTGGAAGAAGCCATGTTTCAAAAGGAGCGACTCCATTCCTCCCACAACAGTGACACATTGACACCCGATATAGACAAGCCCTTTGTAGACGTCGAAGTGGGAGCTAGTGGCCTCATGAACTCTTCAAAAGCTACTCGGCCAGACTACACAGATATTTTTGAGTCGTATGTAAGATAATATATATAACTGGTCATGGAAATCTGGGAACTTGGAGCACACGTCCTCTGAGATGGTGATAATCACGACTTCTCTGAGTAACCATCATGACCACCGGTTGCAAGCAATTTCGTGCGCAATATCCAAGGTCATCAACGTGCGTCAAGAAATTGGCGCCCCTTGAGCTGCTCACGGGGCATTTCACGTCCTTTCGCTCAATCCACAGAGGAAAAATGCACAATGATATGCCATGGAGGCAGTTGGAGTACAGTCAATGTCTTCAGTGGAACTCGTGCCTAACAACATATTGTTATAGTAGAGCGTCGAGGGCAGAGCTTTACGAAATTGTACAGATGCATTTGAGTAAATTTGATTCTCAAGTCCTGATCCTCGTGCACGTCATCATCGTGTAGGTATTGTCGAATCAAGTTGTTAAAGGATTGCGGAAACATAACCCAAGAGCAACTCCAAACTTGCACACATCCCCGCTCTAATAGGGAAAAGGTAGCAGTCTTCAATAGAATATTTCGATATACAAGGGCCGGTTGTGAAATCGAAGCTGTGGTTAGATGTTAATACATCCTGCGCATCAGGCTTGCTGGTCAGCAGCAGGGCGAAGCCATGTACCGGAGGTATATAGTTTGGTATTTGGAGCCAACCGAAGGACTTGGCCCGGGTAGCTCAATTGGCCAGAGCGTGCGGCTTTTAACCGCAAGGCTGGGGGTTCGAGCCCCCCCTCGGGCGCAGTTTTCCTTTTGCTGCTTGGGAATGAAGGAGCAGTGGTTTCCTTTTTTTGCAGTTTGCAACTCATAATGTAGGATCTGGACGTATGTTATCAGTGCGACAGAAGAAGCTGATGCTGTTTTTTTCCTAATTCCCCTCTGCAAACGCTCATCGTTTGGGTAACCGGTCCACCTATGCGAGCTTAATTCTCTTCGATGCTCCGCAAGGATCCCGGCCTCAATCTCGGGGCAGCCAAATGTCAGATCCCACAAGCGCAATGGCATCCTCTCTTAACAATCTCACACAAGTATTACTCCGAAGAACGTGATGATACACCAGTAGTGGCATAATTCTAAATTTCAGTGTGCCTCGTAATATGCGCAAATTGCAAGATACACAGCGGATTTTAGGCCAGATATCATCTCGTCTCAGTTCGTCTCAACAGCGCGCGATGTGCGTGGAAGACTACATACTACTAGGTAGTACTTTGTACAGCACTCAGCGACTCAAACAATCCTCTTTGCATGCAAGTGTGCAGTACACGAAACACCACGTCGCCGGGCTGGGAGATTCGTCTCAACCCAGAAGTACGGACAAGTACTCGTATGTAGGTGTTACAGGGCAAAAAGAGCGTTCGCATCGAGACGGTCACAGATTCAGAGGAAGCAAGAGAAAGAAACCCCCCCACCGAAATTACATCACATGCCATTTATACATGTCGCACACAGGGACCCCGGGGCTCTCTCTCTCTCTCTGTACGGCAGCTGGGGTTGATGAGACAGGGTGAGAGAGAAGAAAGAGAAGATCCCTGGCCACGGTCAAATCAGCTCGCGGCGGTGGCCACTCGGGGAAACTGGCGGCAGGTTGCTGTCACGAGCAATTTCGTGTAGCGCGGGTGAAGAGATCATTGGATCATGGGCAGCTTTTTGGGGGGGAGGATAAGGGCTCTGCTTATGATTGAGAGAGGACACACAAGTTCGTGCACGGATTGCAAGAGAGCGAAACAGGAATCCGACGACAAGAGAGTGGGAGAAACTGAAAGCTCGTCAGGTTCAGTTGTTGTTGCTTTCATTCTCATTGTATGTATCATTCATGATGTCCCCTTCGGCCAAACCACCACGACGAAACAAAACGGCAGCAGATTGATGAACGAAACTCTTCCCTTTCAACGTCCTCTTTCCGATTCGCAAAGGTCCGGCCCGATCCCTCAGAAAATCGCTGCTGCATCTTTCTTTCTTCCCTCGGGCTCGCAGCAAATCTCATGCAGCAATTGGGTTGAAACGGAGCTAACAGTCGAGACCAAACCAGCAGCGAATGAAGTCGAGCGTGCAAACTGACAGGGGGGGGGGGGGGGCCAGAGAGCCTAAAGACCCCTGCAGCCTTGCCAAAGAAGAAAAAGACGACATGGAGCTACTGCTAGTACCGGTGTCCCACTCGACCTGAGACGTCCCGTCGTCGTCGTCTCAGGTGAAGCAGCGATTTTAGGCCTCCTGGCGGAGTACGGGCGTCTTTTCGTGTCAACATCCTGACATACAAGCAGTACGACCCGTATGGAGTACTCGTAGACCATCATTCACTTTTTGCGGCTATTCAAAGAGCTTCGTCACGAAGGGGTCCATTTGCGGTGGCAAAGACTCCTGAGAAAAGCAACGTCGTGTGAAAAAAAGGAGACGCGCAGCATTCCGCCTTGGGATGATCTGATCTGCAAGAACCGCCTTGTTAGATTACCTTACAGTTCAGAGAAGAAAGGGAAAACTCAAAGGAAGATGCCGAAGGAGCGACGCTCTTTTTCCTGGATAGTATCTATTACACTCGAGACACAGTCGTCTGATGTGAGCGGTAGCTGACATGGATGACGGGCTGGAACCTGGCCTGGACATGTCCTGCTGGGGGGGTCCGCGAATAGGGCTGTGACAAGTTTTGGTGCCATGTAGTATGTACGTTTTTGCCTCGTTGCAGTTAGAAGGGAGCAGTTGCATCGACGAAGAAGAGTGCCGAGGCCTCTTTTTGCCTGTTCAAGTTGCTCTTTTTGCAGCAGGGCGGGTAAATCCAGGGCTTTGTTTGCTCGCTTGCTTCTGTCAAACGGAGAGCAGGCTGGTTCGGAGAAGAAGCGGGAGAGAGCGCAAAGACCAGAGGATAGTCTGCAAATGAGGCTACACTGGTCAGGATCGTGAGCCTAGGAATAGATGCTAACTCGCACTTGCATGAGTAGGTAAGAACTGAAGGCATGCAGCAGCACTGGGCACAATGTCGACAAGGTTACCAAGATCAGCCCAGTGATAATGCCGACCCTCTGTTGCTCCCAGCTCCAGGAGTACGATACCAATACCGTACCCGTCCCTGGACTCGTACCTGTCACATTTGAGCGCAGGAGCCACGATAAGGCACGAGCTCGTTCGAGTATCGAGAATCAGTGGACATGGAGAGGGCGGGATAGCGTCTAGTGCAGTGGGGGCTTGACCCGAGGAGAAACAGAGAGAGAAAGCGCAAGATGCCATCAAAGTCACAGGGAACAAAACACGAGCCAACTCATCTCATTTGGCTTTGCAGGCGTTATAGACCTGTTTGTTTGTACGGTACATGTAGGTGAACCTGCAGGATTCGTGGGTTGCAGTGGGCGCCTATTGACATGTGCACAGATAGCCGCAGCGGTGAGATGGGAGTGGAGGGTAATGACTTTCAAGGCCCAGACAAAGGGATGGCACGAAAGTTACAGCACTTCAAACATGTGAGCCCAGATCGACGACGAAACGGCAGAAGCCAGTCCAAGTGGCAAAACTGCTCAAACGCGGCAGGTTTCGGGCCTCAGGGGTTATATGTAATGTTTCGCATTCTGAAGGATAATAAACGCGCCGCCAGACAGAGACCGGGTAATTCCAAGCAAGCATGGCAGGTAGCATCGGGAATCTCAACGGCAAAACTATCGAGTCTCTTTCATGTTCGTTTCTTGTGAAGTTCCGGACAAACGGATTCTCAGAGCCCTTTTATTGTATGTACGAGTAGTTTGAGATGTGAAGAAGCTGAAGCAAGCGGCAGGGTTGCATCTGGCTAGTACTGCCATTCCGAAGCCCATGTCGCATCTTCGATCCCTAAGAGGTCAGCTAGACTTGCCAAATGTAGCATCGATAGTATAACCTTGAAGTTTGCCATATCGCGGACAGAGACACACGCGAGGTAGCAGAGACTGGGGCCTCGCATCGACGGTACAAAGAGGTACGGGAAGCAGTGCCGTTTGTGGAAGCTGCAGGGATCGAAGAGGGGTGTGGTTGTAGGAACGGCTGCTGGTAATACTAGTGGGAGAGGTTTCTCTTGAGGGGTCATGCAGGCAGAGCCTTGTATCGCATGGTGTTACACACGGTATTTGCAACACCTTCCTACCCAACGACTGCAGCTGCAGGTCAATCTTTTTCCATCGTTTGTTGTCCAGATATCAATGTTGGCGAGGAAGAGGAGGAGAGGCGAAGCTGAAGACATTGAAATGCCCTCGATATGTCCACGGAGAGTACGAGGTACAGGAGCAGTGTTCGCAACACATTGGATGCGAACGACAAAGCCAGTCAGCGGCGATCACGACCCCGCCGGCTAAGAGTTTGTTTCCCGTTGTCGAGACTTGACAGCCACGCCTCATCGCAGTCGCCGATGAACGGTAGGTGAGGCGCCAGTAGAAGCCCGTGAACCCCAGTCCGACTTCGTATTGCCGGCAGATCCTGTGTGAAGCGAGTGCGTATTTCGGGGCCTCAGAACGACTCCAATCGTGATACAGGTTACTGCGTGCGACGGCACTATCGCCAGTCGTATTTAATGGCGGTGCTTCATGTGACGTGAACTCGAAGAAAGATCGACAGGGCCAAAGGGCTAGCTTTTCCAGCTACTACTAATTTTGACGTCTTTTTAGCATGCGCTACCAAAATGGCGAGCAGATCCAATCTTGTTTCCGCACGTACTCGCAACGGTAATAATAATCTTGATCCCGTCTTCTGCTAGCCATGTGGGGAGAATTCATCAGTTCTTCATTGCAGGGGCTCAGATGCGTTTCTTCACCAACCCGTGATATTACTACTACTGCCGATAGTAGTAGTAGTAGTAGTAGTATCAACACTGCCCGGCAGTGGAGAATCAGCATGAATATCAGTGAACAACGAGGACACCAAGGCATCCGGTGACTCCTCCTCCCAGCTTGAGATCCTTGGTCAGCCGTGGGCACGCACAGCATTGAACGAGGGCAAATTGATGCAACTCAAGGCCTTCCCCTGTCGTGACAGAGATTTCAGCTGCCGAGGCATGATGGGTTGGTTCGCCAATAATTTCACGACGCCGCCCAAACCCTGTACACGTACGAAGTAGCACTGCACCGCACTCAGGCACGTATCATACATTCCGCAATCCAACCTCGAGTCCGATTACAAGGTCGGTTCTACTATCACGAGTACGAGTAATGTAGTAGACGGCTCGCTTGTGGGTTTTGTTCGGGATTTACGAGGTATTGGATCCGATGCCATCGCGCACTTGTCCCAGTCCAACTGCGTGTGAAGCCGTGCCATCGGCATCGGGACTTGGACAGGCGTCTCACCATTGAGACGCTACAACCTCACCACACAAAGATCGAACGCACTCCCTCCGCACCAGGGGTTGGCCCGGCTCCAGCATTAGCTTATCGAGTGGCAACACCAGACAGCCTGGATTCCTCTCTGCTCTTCCTCCTCTTCTGTGTCTGAAAATTTTTGCTCTCTCTCTCTCTCTCCCACCGTCCGTCCGGTCGAAACGGCCAGCGTCTGCGGACAACGGCATCAGCGGCGAGCTAGGACCGTGCAACAAAGAGCGGTGCGACGGGCAGCCTTTCTGGTTTCGGCGTCGTCAAGTTCGTGTTGTCCAGTTGAGTTGAGTCCAGTCCACTTCACGGGATGCGGAGCGCCGATGGGCACGCTACTGTTCCAATAGCGGCGGCATTCCGAAGTGATATTGGAGATTGATGAACAAAAGCACTGGCCTCTTTTCTTTCGCATCGCCACATGGACTTGTTTGGCAGCTCGACGAACGGCGCTATTGTTTGAGCACCGGCTGGCTGATGAGCAACGGGCACGTCAACGTCACAAAGTCCAAAAATAAGCCCAAGTTTGATTGTATGGATATGCTGTGAAATTAGCCCCCAAAATGAACGTCAATGCTCTCTTTCTTCGGCTGGGGGATTGGGATGGGGATGGGGAGCGACAGGCGTTGCTGATCAACGGCCAGGGGATCGCCTCTCCAACAACGAGGGGGGGCCCTGGGCCGGCGCCTCTCCAGACACGCTTCAAGTCGGAGCAGAAACAATCAAAATCCCATCGTTATTGCGGACCTCGATGGCTAGCATCAGCAGGTAAAACACCCTACCAGCCTTGGCCGCGGCGGGTGGGTGGACAGGCTGCTGGATTCGGCCACAGCCTGACGGGCTCTGCTCGCACAGTGCAGGTGAGGCGGAGGGGCGGTGGATCGCCAGCAATCCAGTCAGAGGCCGCTGAGGCCCAGGGACCGTCCAGCCCCCCCTGGCCTGGCCCCGATGCACCGCAGGCGTGTCTGGAGGGACTGCAAGTAAATGGGCGTCGACTTGGATCTTTAGGTTGCTTCAATCTTTGCTTCAATCTGGCGGCGATACTGCGCTTGCATGGCCACACGCCCTCTGCATCGGCCTGGTACCGGCCTGTACAAGGGTTTGGCACGCGGCACACGTGCGCGGCCGGGTACCAGTACGGCGCTAGCGGTGCGTCGAGAGCGCTGCCCGTCTCAGCGCGAGGTATCTGCGTGTACCGCCGAGTTGTGCCTTGTTTGCAGCGGCGGTGCTGCGACTGCTGTAGCGAAGCTGCAGCTCCCGTTCCAGGGCTCGCACGGGCGCCAGCGCTGCGACTGCTGCTGCCCCAGGTACATGCGGTACATGGATCCATCTGCGACCTCAACGCAGCCTGGATCAGAATTGTATTCTTTGTCTTGCACACGCCCCCCCCATGCCTGTTTTCGATCCATCATCTCCCATCCATCGCTTCACCAGCAACTCGAGAGCTGCCCGGCATCCGTGTCACTTTCCCCTCCCTCTGTGACGAACCTGGGGGCCCCTTTCATTCAGGCCTGCGGGAGGCTATTCAGACCGGATGCTTCATGCGATTGCCAGCCAAATAAAACAAACGCCGCCTGCCCCTCCCGTCGCCCGCGTCCTTTCTCTTGTTCCTCTCTGCCGCTTTCTTCTCGTGTGCCTTCTCGATTGTCCGTCGGGTGGCTTCTCTTGCTTCTCTCGATCCATCCCGCAGCTCCAAATATAACAACAAACAGAGACGAGAGGCCTACTATAATACTACAACAACTGCAACCTGCTCCAAGCCCGCCTAATTCGCCGACGACGCCCGTCTGCCGCCGCCTCCATCTATCATCTCTTCATCCTCTCTCTCTCTCTCTCGCGCAGCCAGCCCAGCCGTCTGCTGGAACGCCTCCATCCCATTCGCCAATAAAGCCCCGGAACCGCCCTCGGCAACCCCTGGTGTGCGCGCGTGGTGCGTGGGTGTATGCATCTGCACTAACGTTCTGGACCTACGGGCGCTTGTGCGAGTACACGGTACCGGCCCTCGCCAGATTCCCGCCGCCCCAATCGCCCGTGCTCGGCCCAAAATACGAAGTACTGCGTACTTGCTCCCCAATCGCAATATATTCGGACAAACCACATCGAGAATCACCACTCTCCTGAAACGCCGTCGCCTTCCCCCCCCAACTCGGCCTTCTCTTTTCGCTCTCCCTCTGTCACCCGCGCTGTCAAAGGCCGTCGTTGCTGTTGCAGACAAGGCAGGGCGAGCCTCCAGTCCTGCTTTCTCTTCCTTCATCAAACATCGCACGGAGACTCTGGGGAAACACGACTTTGTTCTTTTTTCCTCGTCCGTTCTCTTGCTCAAAAGAAGCAACCAGGAACCCGCACCGTTACCTAGTGGAGGGGAGTGCCGCTATTGGCTTCTCGGGGTACCCTGACTACCTTACTTATCCGCCGTCGAAATCTGCTCCCAGTCTCTACAGTCGCGACAACCGGTCGACAATTGTCTCGAGCGACATTCGCACAACTCTGCGCCCGCGCGCTTCTCCGCTGATCCAGCACAGCTTCGCTCGAAGGCAAAAGCACAGCGAATTACTTTTCGCCCTCGTCCGCACAGAAAACCGTCTCTCGGCAGCACCGCCAGAATGAGTGCCGCAATTGCCATGGCCCCTTCGCCGGCTCCTCACGAAAGGAGCACATTCCCTACCGAACGCCCTGCTCCTCCGACAACCTCGACGTCGCCGCCTGCGCCGCGAAACGCGATGCCCTCACAAGCGAGGAGTCAGCTCCCGGGCGCATCAAGCGCCGCGCAGCCGTCCAACGGCAGCCCCAAGTCAGATAATGCCACTGCAGGCAGGCCTTCGCCCAACGCGTAAGTCTCTGCTTGCCGTCACCCTGCGCATCATCACTAGGTGTCTTCCTTCGTCGCTACAGTGCAGCCACAGTCCATCTTGCTGACAAAGTTTGATTGCCATGACAGATCTCGAAAAGATGTCGCTGTAGCCCCCAAGATTGTCGTTAAGAAGGAGCCAGTCTCGCCCGGCCTGCCCGCCTCAAGGCCCCGACCCAGACGTTTGGACTTGTCTAAGAACACTCTCGCTGGAGGATCCAATCCCCCTTCGGGCCACCCAATGACGGCGCGTGATGGACTGGGAATTCAAGAAGTGGGCATTGCCTGCCTTTCCCCAGGATTTATGACACAGGATCCCGTGATGAAGGAACAGCTTCAGCGAAGCATGACGGTCCGAGAGCAACAGCGAAGCCTTATCGAGGCAAGACTGCAACTGCAGCAGTCCGCCAAGGGTGACGGCCCATCCGACAAGGACAAGGACTCACCGTTTGCGGCCAAGACACCAGGCATGTCTCGCAGGAATAAGGCGCCTCCCGGACTCTCCATTGTTGCGCCCTCACATCAGCAGTTTGCAAACGAAAGGGTCATTCAGTCCGCGCCCCTTGGCCGTAGCTTCACCGGCCAGCACATGCCGCCTTCCCGACACGCCCAACACCAGGCTTCTAACCTCTCAAGTACATCCCACATCCACCACGTCCACGCCCACCAGACCACAAATCGGCTGCCGCCCATTAGCGACGTCTTTGGCCAGAACCTCTCCGCGCATCCCGATAATGGACCTCACACATCCGCCCTCTACCCCAGCCACGCGGCTTCAAGGCCTCAGCTGTCTCCCGGCCTGCCGCCCGCTCACCACCAGCAGCAGCCCATGTCTGGTCGTTTGAGGGAGTACAAGTCTGCAGAAGAGGCCCAGCATGAGCTGGCCGGCGGACGACCAGAGCTGCTCCCCAGACTGGTCCACTACGGCGGTCCTCAGCCTCCCACGCCTCCCTCTCCCGCTGCTGGCGCCAACCGCCATCCCGAAGCCGCTCGAAGCACCAGCAGGAGGCGAACGCGCGCCGAGTACGAGGAAGGCAGCAGTCCGCCGCTGGGCCATGGCCCAGCTCCTACCCGCCGCGGTCCCTTTGGCGCCGGCCGTGACAGCCCCGAGACGCAACGAGCCAAGAAGGAGGAGTTCCTGCAGCTGTGTGCCAGAGCCTGGGATCTGTTCCACTCATAGGGGAGCAGACCCAGTCAATCTTGTGTGCAGCACGCACCCATCAAAGGGTCTTGGCCACCTTTTCGGCCATGTTAATGTTGATGGCGTTCAAATGTGTATGACAAGGCGAAGTGGGACAGGGCTTTGGGTTATGTCATGGTGGAACGATATCTTGTCTCTCGGAGCAGCTCGTGGATGATTTTCTTTGTGACTTCTTCCTCGCTCTCTGGATGGTTTCTCTCTTTTTCTTCCATCCTTTTTTGTGTTTTCATATGTCCATCCGTGCTTCTTGTTGGGAGGACCACATCCTCTCCCTGGCCTTGATTTTTCTTTTTAACGCAAAGGACCGGGGCTGGCAACAACGAGGCTTCACATTACATTGTCTCTTCATTTCGTCCTTGATCTATGGCGGGCTGCTCGGAAGGCTCGTCGCATACAGAGAGGGGATGTATAAGGGTAGTCACTCCCGCTTTGTGTGTCATCTTTATTTCTACGATACATATCTACAGTATTGGCTTTTAGGGGGAGAGGGAAAAGGAGGTATCTGATTGTCTGCACACATGCTTGAGTGGTGCGGCTCAGAGGCACTGAGGGATACGGAAGGCCGGGGCTTGGAGATGGTCTTAATTTCGAAAGGGAATTCATATGGCGTTGGATGCGTTGTAATTCTGGGAGGAGGGGGTTTTTGCTGGCCTTTTTACGTCAGGGGGGAGGTGGATGAATCGATATTTGAGACGATTTCGGTCTCCCTTTGATAAATCGTCCCGTGTTTTGCAGGCGCAATGTGCTGGGTAATGGGCGTTTGTATATGCTAGTTATTCAACAGTGAGCATAGCAGAAAGTATTTTGTCTAAAACGAAGTAAAACCTTGAACCTTTACTTGCCAGTAAATGTCTGATTCGAATGCAAGCCTCAAGTCTTTTGTTGAAACTCGGTATAATTGGTGGTTTATAACTCAAGAGTCATATCCATGTGTCTCGTGACGATGAGATTCGACAGCCTAATTTGTGATCCGACTGATGATTTACCTACATACCTTACCTTATTGAGCAACCAAGCTTGATTCTATTCCGTTTCTACTCAAGCTACTTGCGTCGTTTCACCAACTAAGTCTGGGAAATATACTCCGAGCCTAAGTAGGTAGGACTGTAACTATAGTTGAATCACCAATACCACCTACCTAATACCCAGTACCCGTAAGTAGGTATGAGGAATACTAGACAGGTACAGTAAGTAAGTAACCTACATTACCTTACCTTCTTTTTCTGCTTGTTTATTTCATGGATCTCCCTTCTAGCAGAATGTGGAGAAAAGCCCTTCTTCTTCACTAGTAACAAGAAAAGAAAGTAATGAAACTTATCCCCACGGCGTCTTTACATCGTAAGATGGGAGGGGAAGTAATTAAACGTTGGAAAGAGCCGAGGTAACTTTGTCAAACGTGCCGTTTTATTTCCCTTTGCTGTTTCTGCTTTTGAAAAACCCGTAATTTATTGCTGGAGAATAGGATTCCTCCCATCTTTGGCTTTTGTGTGGGATGAGGGTGTGTTGATGCCCACGACTAACTCGAAACTGTGACATCTCGTGGACAAACGTCCTCCAATGATATATATGCCTCTAAACTTATGATACCCATGTGAAATAGGATCAGCAGGATGCACTAACCCAGAAATCCCATGTTCATTTCACGTCAAGCATGCCGTTAGATACTCAACGATAAACAACAGTCGGTGAAGAAACTCAAGATGGGGGCCGCGAGGAACAACACCTTGTCATGTCGAGCTGCTGCCATTCCGGCCGAGCTTCTACAGCCACGCACGTCACTCTGCTTCTCATCATGGCTCCTCTGCTTCACGCCAAAAGAATGAACCAACGCCAGACCGCAAAACACACAAATCACGCAGACACACATAAAGACAAAGAGTGTCATGAGAAGCCCCCAAACTGTCAAAGACACAATGGGGTTCGATTCAGCAAGTCCACCTAGCCGCATCATGCGGACAAAAAGAGCAACGCAAGCCAACATCGCTTAATTGAAACAAGCTCACAAATGCCATCCTTCCTGCAAAAGCACACAAAACATACTCCGTCTTTGTCTTTCTCGTTCGCCAGTTGTCCAGAAAGAAGCAAAACGAAAACAAGAAATCGTCCAAAACGCAGGCGGCCATAGCCCACCGACCAGTGAGAGAGCCTATCCCGTTTCCCATTACCCGACGCCAGTGTCCAATCCCAGACCAACCCCGGAATTCCTTGTTGCTCCCCTCCGCTCGCTCTCAGCTTGCTCGCATGTATCTCGTACGCCAAAGCCGCCACCCTTTTTTTTTAAACTGTAGTTCAGGAAAAAGTGAAAGAAGAGAAGAAGAGAAGAGAAAAAGAAGAGGAAGCTTGTATCGGGTCCACAGAATCTCAGGATCCAACACGTCGTCTGAGCAGTGTAAAGGGCATTTCTTTCTGTGCTTTCTTGACGCAGCACAGTACGCCTCTCGTCACCCGCTCAAGCTTGGTTGAGTGTAAATAAAAGGGCGGAATACAAGAAGAAGCAAGGCGAGCCTCGTAAGCCAACGGCTGCCAAATCATTGACAAGCCAAAGCGAGCGTGCTGGGCAGTTTCCAATGTTGTAGTCCCGCGCCGAACGCTTTCACCTGTATGCAAGAAATAGAGAAAAGTAAAAAAGACAAAAGTATCCCAGCTGCCAGTCCTAGGGGTATTTTACATTCGCCACATGATATCATTAAAAGTTGTTTTCTTCTTTTCGTTTGGGTCATGTTTCGTCGTCCATGAGTTTTAGCTCTGCCCGTTGATGTGTTGAAGGGAAGGGTAGATTAGGCGGTAGGCCGATATGTTCAGGTGAGCGGCCGGAGGGATGGGGAATCCCTGTGTATCGGATGCCATCGCTTCAGGCAGAGCGTTCTGTCGTATACACTGTTCGTGTTTCTTTTCACCTTCAAAGGCCTTCTTCGCCGGCCTTGCAGAGCTTGATCTCGCGAACCCACTCAGACTTGAGGACCTGGGCAGCTGTGAGACGACGCGTGGGATGGGGGTCCAACACGGAGTAAATGACATTGCGGCAACGAGCCTGTAGATAGATCGTTAGCACAAAATTCAATAAATGCCAAGACAAGACCACCGTACCCTGTGTAATGACTCGATTGGGCCGTAGCCCTCCTCGTCACGACGGCCCTCAAGATAGCGAGAGTAAAACTCGTCGTCTTCCTTTTTGGCGAGGCGCCACAGATGTCTTCCGGTCCGCATGGCCATATAAATGACACCGCAAGCCCAGACGTCGACAGCGCGGGCGTCAAACTCCTTGTCGGTGTACTCTTCGGGCGCAATGTAGGGGGCGGAGCCGCATAGGCCAGAGACCATGTGGGCATCCGTCTCCCAAGCCATGCGGAAGCACTCGCCGTTGCCGAAGTCGGTGATTTTCAGAGCGCCGCGAGTGGTGAGCAGCAAGTTCTCGGGCTTGAGGTCGCGGTGGGCAACGCCCATCTCGTGGAGGTACTCGACGCCCCTCATCATCTGCTTGAAGAAGCAGTCGGCCTCTTGAACCTCCAGCTTGCCGCTCGACAGGATGAGGGTGTACAGGTCGCCGCCAGCACAAAACTCCATGACCTCGCAGAAGTCGCCCTTGGCGTCCTTGAGCAGGTCGAGGGTGTGGATGACGTTGGGGTGGCGCAGGGAGGAAGAGATGCAGAACTCGGCCGTGAGACGCTTGCTATACTTCTTCTCCGACTCGTCGGGCCGCCGGCGGAACTCCTTGACGGCGAACAGCTTCTCGCCGTTGGTGCCCATTTTCTTGTGCGATATCCTGACGATGCCAAAAGCGCCACGGCCGACGATTTCCTGGCATTTGCCGTACTTTTCCACCAGCGTCGAGTTTTGGGGGCCCTTCCTGTCGATTGCGTCTTCCTTTTCCTGACGCAGCGAATCAACCCAGTTGGAGACAAGGGAAAGGTCGTTGTCGGGCATGGGCTCTTGTTTCTTTCCGATGATGCTTCGCCACATGTCGGACAGCTTCTCCTGCCTTCGGCTGGATCTCAAATGGTGCTCATGGCCGCCGGGGGCGTCGGCGACGAGGACGAAGCGACTTGACGGCTCCTTGGGCTTGGTGGGTTCTTTAGGTTTGGCAGGGGTCTTTTCGGCGGGTTTCTGCTCTATTGATTCTTTTCGCGGCGCAGGAGAGGAGGTGCCGCTGATTGAAGGGCCGCGGGAGCGAGGGGTTGTCTCCCCATTAATGCTGGCTTTCGAGACGTCCTTGCTGGAGAACATGCGGGTGATGCGATCCTTGACCGAAGCCTTCTCAACGGGGAGATGCTTCAGCTGAGTCTCGCTCGAGGTGGGAGAGAGCCTCTCGGAGCCGGTCTGCGAGGCCAAGGTGGGCGACCTCTTTCCTCCCTCATGCGATGACTTGATGGACGACGGTTTTGAGCTCTGAGCGGAGCTCGGTTTTGACTCGTTCGGAGCGGACGGCATCTTGAATAGCGTAGAAAGCGCCGGGCCGTGCTATGTGTGGGCTTCGTCGAAGTGTGCGGGTTTTCTCGGTCGGAATGCCGGCTTGTCGAGAGTTTATTAGGCGAGCGAAGAAAGCGATCAGACGTTGCTTGATCCGGTGGCGAAACAACGGGGATGCAAGCACTGGAGCTCGGTTCTGGACGGAGGGAGCCAGAAGGAATTGCGTCGGCGGCGGAAGCTGATTCCGGAGCAAGTAGAAAAGCGAGGATGACGATCTTGTGCAACAAGAGCTAATGCGCGGCAAAAAAAGTACGTTTCGGAGTGGAAGCCAACGAAGAGCGATCAAGGCTCGGCAGCGCTGCAGGCGGGAATTTGCTCTCTGGGCGCTGCAGGGTACGCAAAAGTTGCCGTGACGCAGGACGTTGCGAGTGTTGCTGATTGCTGTGGCCAGGCGGCGGGCGCTTCGAGATCGAAGAGGGGTGTTTGCAGCGTCAGATCGAGACTGGGCAAACGCACAGGCGACACCTGCAATTGCGTGGAATTGCTGTTGCTGCTTGAGAGCGAGGACAAAC